CCTGTGCTTTGCTAAGCTTGTTCTAAGTAGGTGCTTTAGACCACTGAGCCATCTCACCAGCCCCTGATTCTCTTTTTCTAACAACTATCATTTGGCTCTGTCTCTTTTGTACTTGGCTTTTAGAATTTTGTTCTGAATACTGCTTATGAATATCCCCAACCTGGGGATTGTTTGGGTTTTTTTCAGAAAAGGTCTCTCTCTTTTTTTTTAATCTTTTTGAGATAGGGTCTCACTGTGTATTTCAGGCTGGCCTTGAATGCACTTTGGAGACCAGGCTAGTCTTGAACTCGCAAGGACCATCCACCCTCTCAGCTTCCTAATGCTGGAATTACAGACATGAGCTACCACGCCTGGCTTACCCTTTTTTCTTTCTTTCTTCCTTTTTTTTTTTTTTTTTGAGACACGCTCTTGAAGTGTATTTCAGATTATATAGGCCAAGCTGGCCTTGAACGCACAGTGATCCTCCTGCTTCAGCCTCCCAAGGGCTGGAACTATAGGTGTGGGGTACCATGTCTGGTCAGAATATCTCAATTTTTCTTTTTTTTTTTTTTTTCCGGAACCAGGGATTGAATTCAGGTCCTTATGCTTGCCAGAGAAGCACTTATTCCACTGAGCCATCTCCCTGGTCCCTCAATTTTTTAAAAATGTAGGATTGGGAACACAGCTCAGTGGCACAAGGGCCCACCTGGCAAGTACAAGGTTCTGAGTTTGATTCCCAGTACAAAAAAATACCTAACATATTACATTTTGTATAATTTTTTGCTTCTTAATCACATTTACTGCAGTGGCTGGGATTGGTTCCCTGGCACACCAGCCCTGCCCTGGGGCTGAGCCAGAATTGAGACTGAGGCATGGTGGCACGAGCTTGGGAGGCTGAAAACAGGAGGATCACTATTAGTTCGATCTACATAGTGAGACCTTGTACATCCTGTAGAACCTGTACCAAATACAAAAAAAAAAAAAAAAAAAAAAAAAAAAAAATGAATGTGGAAAAAATAAAAAAAAAAGAGAATTTTTTTTTTTTTTTTTTTTTTGTATTTTAGGGAAGGGTTTACAGAGTGTTCAGGGTCTCACTACTAGATCAGACTCATAGTGATCCATCAGCCTGTTTACAGCCTCCCAAGAGCTGAAATTATCGATGCACACCACCACGCCCAGTCTCAACTGCCATCTCAGCAAACCTCGGGAGAGGGGCCTGCATGGCTCATCTATGTTAATTGGAAATACAAATCAATTCTTTTGATTTCTGATTTCTAGCCCTCATTATGGATTCAATTCCTAAGAAAAATCATTTCATAATACAACATCAGGTAAATTTTTCAATTTATTTTATTCTGAAATCTGTCTTCTAAACTGAGACTGTTAAAAAGTTAAAGACTGTCTCTCTGGATGGAACCTCCTGCAAAAGTGACTGTCACATACCACTAAAGGACAGGAGCACATCGACTCTGTTCTATGGAGGCACTCACACTGAAGAGTCCTACAGGACAAGTCATCTTCTACCACAGTGCATATGAGTCTAGGTTTTGGTTTTGGTTTTGTTGTTGGTTTTTTTTTTTTTTTTTTTTTTTTTTTTTTTTTTTTTTTTTTTGGTGGAACTGGGGATTGAACTCAGGCCCTTGCGCTTGCCAGGGAAGCACTTATTCCACTGAGCCATCTGCCCGGCCCTAGGTTTTGTTTTTGAGACAAGGTCTCATTATGTAATTCAGGGTGACCTCAAACTCCGTGATCCCCCTACTTTATCTGGAAGTGGTTCAATTACAGGTGTGTACCACCACATCCGGCCAGGAGTCTGGACTTAACAAGTGAAGATGTAACTTTTACTAAAGAAAGTTCTGGCTTGACTTTTAATGTAGGCTGCAAAATAAAATGTACCACTAGAAATAGGGCTGTCCATATGGGCACACAGCCTCTTGGTAACTTAAGTTTCCCTATATATAAGAAAATTAGAACCAAACAGGTGGCACTTCCCTATTAATCCCAGCACTCTGGGAAGCTGAAGCAGAAGGACTGCAATTTGTTTGAGTTCAGCCTGAACTAAGTTGCATGGTGGTGCACATCTGTAAAACCAACACTCAAGGGGCCAGGGAGATGGCTCAGTGGAATAAGTGCTTCCCTGGCAAGTGCAAGGGCCTGAGTTCAATCCCCAGTTCCGCCCCCAACAACAACAACAAAAAAGCAACACTCAAGAGGAAGAGGCAGGAGGATCACTTCCAATTCAAGGATACCCTGGGCTACACAGTAATTCAAGGCCAGTCTAATGATTACATAGTGAGACCTTCTCTAAATCAATTAACCAACCAACCAGGCTGGCCTCAAATGTGTGATCTTTCTTCCTCAGCCTCTCAAATAACTGGAACTGCAAGCATGAACCACTAAACATGACCCTAAAATAATTTTTTAAGAGAATTCTCTAGATTTTAAATAAACTTTTCTTTTTAAATAAATTTTAGGAAAAAATAAACAAACAAATAAATCTCAGGTCTGCTTTAATTTCCCACAACCTGAGTTCAACCAGAGTCTTAATACTGTCCAGGAAAACCGAGTCCTATGGCACACTAGTGAGAAACGGCCCTGTAAGGGACTCAGTTGTGTAAGGCTGCTTTAACTCAGTAAAAATTACTAAAGTAGGGCATTTGTTTTGTTTGAGAGAGGGTATATCTAGCCATGCTGGCCTTGAACTCCCGGGGATGCTCCAGCCTCAGCCTCAGGTGCTGGGATTAAAGGGATGAGCCACCACACCCAGCTAAAGTAGAAAATTTAAAGGCAGATCTGAGTACTGATTCCTACTCTATTTATAGGCAAGATTCTAATGGCAGCAAGACTGATTGACTGATTCTGAGACAGGGTCTTCCTGGACAGTCCAGAATGGCCCTTCACTCACAATGATCTCCCTGCCTAAGTGTTGAGATTACAGATGTACAGCCATTATGCTAGTCTAGGTGAGCTTTATTTTTAATAGAAATCAACCTTCCTGAGATTTCTCTTGGGAGTGTAATTTCACTCTTCTTCAGCCTGGTAAATAGAAAGGGCACAGGAGGACCCCTAAAAGGAAGGGCTGAGGAAGAAGGCCCGCCTTCAGAGGAGTGTCTCAAACGCAAGAGCTGCATTTTCCTGGAAACCCAAGGCACCCAAAAAGCATTGAAGTCTTCCAGGACGGTCGCCACAACTGGAGACTGTCCTAGGCTTTCGCATTCATATTACTTGCCACCTACTGTGCTGTTCAAGAAATCCCAAATACTCCATTGATTAAAATTCTTCTAACTAGTTTGTTAATTTTTCCTCAAACCACATAGTAAAGGGAAAAATTCCACAAGTGCTTCTCTCTGATTTTTCTGATGTTTTCCACTGTGAAGGGGTAAGAGTGTGACAATTCTAATGTCAGGTAAAAGTGACATCAACCTTAATCACATCACTACTTCTAAACAGGAACTTCTCCCCGCACCAAGGAGCCAATCCAGCTAGGGAATGTCTGTCCCCTACCCCATCCCGGCCGCTTCTTAGGAGAGGGGGTTCCTCAAGCCTGCCCTGCTGCACCCCTGCCCCCCGCCCCCCAGCTCTCCCGTAGTGACTCAGGACCAGGCCCTCCCGGCGGGGGAGGAGGCAGGAGAGGGCCCAGAGGACGAGAGAGAGAAGGACGCCACCGGCTCCGAGGCACGGGGGAAGCCCGGGCCGGTGAGTGGACGGAAAGGGGATTCTCCCGCCTGCCTGACTCATACAGTCGGGGCAGCGACCGCCAGAAGCCGAGGGCGAGCACCAAGGAGCCCGCCGGCGCCCGAGATGTCGCGCGGCCCGCTCAGGACGCCGGCAAATCTGCTGCCTCATCCAGGCACCCCACTCCCGCCTGGCCTCCGCACTCACGATGCTCTCGGACATGGTGGCCGCTCCTGCCTCCGGGCTCGGGCCCCGGGTCGCCGCCGCCTGTCGTCCCACGGCCCTCAGAGCCCCGGCCCCGACCCCGGCCTCAGCCCCGGCCTCTCGCCTTCGCCGCCACCGCCGCTCCAGCTTCGCCGCCCGGCTCCTCCAGCAGGCGACGTCCGGTGCGTCGCCCAACACTGTCCTCAGGGTGCGCAGCCCTGAAACCAAGTTCCGGCCCAGCCAAGGGGCCTGCCAACGGCTGCGAGCATGCGCACACGGCGCGGCTGAACTTGCCTGGGCCGCGCCCGGGAACCGCCCCCTCGCCGCACCGAACTGTCCAGCAGCGCCGCGCGCCGCGCGGCCGCGCGAGGGAGTCCGGGCTTGCGGATTGAGGCTGTGCAGGAGAGAAAGATGCTCTTGAACCCCGAGCCTGTGGAAAAAACCCTCAGAAGAGACAGGCATCCGAAATTTCACCCCCAAAATGTAGTTAGTGGGCTCTGTTGGGGAAAAAAAACGCTATCCCAACGAGTTTAAGCTGCAGTTTGAATAATATACGTGCCTTAGGACCAGCTTCAGTGCAATCTACCTGCTGCTGGGTAGGCCAGGGGTTGGTTCAAGGTGCTGCTCTATTGACATACTGGAATATTCCAGCAAACTTCTCTGCCTTTTGCACAGAGCCCCGCAAATTCTGTGGCCAACTCACTGTGATTGCTTTATTTATTTATTTATTTATTTTTGGTATGGAGATCAAACTCAGGACTTTGCGTTTTCTCAATGTGATTGTGAAAACGAAAGTTATGAAAATATCTAGGAAACTAAAGCTATACATTTTAACCTCATAGTTTTATTTGTTTGTGTGTGTGTGTGTGTGTGTGTGTGTGTGGCCAGCTCAGCTCACCAGGGGGCGGGGCTGGCTGGCATGTGGTGCTGGGGGATTGAACCGCGGTCCCTGTACTTTGCTTGGCTTAGCTTGTTCTGAGTAGGTGCTTTAGACCACTGAGCCATCTCACCAGCCCAACCTCATAGTTTTAGATTGTATCTTTTTTTTTTTTTTTTTTTTCTGTATTTTAGGGAAGGATCTAGAGGGTGTTCAGGGTCTCACTACTAGATCGGACTGGTAGTGATCCACCTGTTTACAGCCTCCCAAGTGCTGGGATTATAGGTGCGTGCCACCATGCCTGGTCTCAATTTCTGTCTCAGCTCACCAGCCGGGCGGCACACCTGGCCCCTGTGCCTGCTTGCAGGCGCTTTAATCCTGCTGAGCTATTTGGCCAGCCCTTCATATTGTATTATAAAAGTGAGAAAAAAAATTTTTTTTTAAATTTCTTTTTTAACATTTATTTAGTGGGGGGGGCTCAGCCCACCAGGGGGCGGGGCTGGCTGCTGTGTGGTGCTGGGGGATCGAACCACTGTCCCTGTGCTTTTCCAAGCTTGTTCCAAGTAGGTGCTTTAGACCATTGAGCCATCTCTCCAGCCCCGAGAAAATTTTTTTAACAAATAACTTTATTTATTTATTTATTTATTTTGGGGTCTTTTTAAATTTTACTGTGTTTGTTTTGGCGGAACCTGGGATTGACCTCAGGCTCTTGTGCTTGCCAGGGAAGCGCTTATTCCACTGAGTCATCTCCCCAGTCCCTAAATGTTTTTTTCTTTGTTTGTTTGTTTTACTGTATTATTTTGTTTTTTAGGGGAGGTTTATTTTTTTGTGTTTGGTGCTGAAGACCAAACCCAGGACTTTCAGCTTGCTAGGCAAGTATTCTACCGCTGAGCCAAATCCCCAGCCCCAAGATTGTTTTAAAAAATTAAAAAATAAAAGTGAGATTTTTTTTTGGTGGGACCAGGGATTGAACTCAGGCCCTTGTGCTTGCCAGGCAAGTGCTTGTTCTACTGAGCCATCTCCCTGGCCCCAAGATTATTCTTTTTATTACCTCCTCATCCCACCTCTTATTTATTTATTTTCTTGAATTGCTCTCACAATGTCTGCTTTGATAACAGTACTGTTTACTTCAGCAGTTATTTAAATTTGGTTTATCTGATCCATCAACAAAGATTTACCAACAGTTCATTTTGCATATGGCATAACTCTTAAACTGAGGATAAAGGAGAAGGGGGACAAACCTCTGGCCTCAAGGAATTTACCAGGGGGCAGATAACATACAAAGATGTGCTGGCAGGTCTTGGTAAGTGCTATTCAGGCAAACAAAGCAGTGAAGGCTAAGGAATGACAGTGGTTGTTTTAAAATTGTTTTGTCAGGATTGGGGTATAGAATTTGTTTGAGGCCCTTCACTGAATCCCTAGCACACACTCATTAAAAAAAAATCATTTATTTATTTATTTATTTATTTATTTATTTAAAAGTAAGTTCCAGGAGCTTTTATTGTTTGAATAACAGCACACATAAAGCCAGCCAGAGAAGTCCCCAGAGAAACGATGGTCACGTTTCACTGTAATTCACCCTTTGGTCCTTCATCTTCTAAGCACTTATTGCATTTTCTTTTAATGATATTAGATGTTTATTTTGATCACAAATGCAATCCAAGCATGAACAAATAAATGTAGTATCTTCTATCCCCCTTCATGTCCCTTTATTTTTTTATTTTTTTGGTGGAACTGGGGATTGAACTCAGATCCTTGCGTTTGCCAGTCAAGCGCTTATCCTACTGAGCCATGTCCCTGGCCCCCTTCATGTCCCTTTAAATAGAAAAAGTGCTAAATGTCTCTTCATAGCCTATTTGGCCACAGTTGTCCCGCCTACAGTTTTAAAAACAGACTGTATCTTGATCTTCTGAAACCCTTTTTCAGCTGCAGCTGAAATTCACCTTTCTGGTAAGAAGACCCTGGGAGCCAAGTCCTCCTGATACTGCTGATATTCTCCAAAAGGTGAAGATGGTAACTGGGTTGAAGGCAACTGGGAGAGGACTTCTGCAAACTGAGGGCCATTGGGAAATTGTGAAGAGGAAAATCTTGTCAACAACATACCAGCTCTGTCAATAAAAGCTAGGAGAATGCCACTCATTGCAGCTGACACGACCATGGCCACTGGTCCATTTCTTGCTGCCAAGATGGCCCCTGTCAAGGCACTGCAAGTGATGGAATTTCAGGGGTCTTCTTTGCCTCTGATTTGAACCATACTACAGTCAATCATGGAGAACAAACCTCCCCATATGGCAAAGCTACCTCCCAACTGTGGAGCCCTGGTTTTAATAGCTGTCAAACCTCCTCATAATCTGTGGTTTACTCCCATTGGAGAATTTTGAAAACCTTTCATAGCCTGAAAGATCCTGCTGCCTATGGTACCTATTGTAAAGGCTCCACTGTAGTCATCCACAATTTGCCAGGGGCAAGGTTCTTGAGCATACTTCTCCTTCCTAACTTCCAGCCATGTGCCATAAAAAAAAAAAAAGATGATCAAAAGCCTGGCATGATAGCACACACCTGTATTCTCAGCACTTCAGAAGCTGAGGCAGGAGGATAGCCATTATTTTGAGGGCAGCCTGGGCTTCATAGTAAATTTTTAAAAAAAGGTCAAGAAGAACTCTCAGAGCCGAGAAGGAGGATCGTTGTGAGTTGGAGACCATCTTGAGCTGCAAAGGGATCTCAAGGCCAGCCTGAATTGCACAGTGAGAACCTATCTCAAAAAGATTTTTTTAAAAGACAGAAGAGAGAACTCTGAGGAAAGGAGGTTGAAACAGGGTCCTAGACAAAGTGATCTATGTAAGTACCTAAAGGAAGAGTGGTGTAAGATGAGGGAAACACATAAACAAAGATCCAGTGGTCTGTGACATACTTGGGGGAATCCACAGACAAGTGGCAAGTGAATCTGGAATACAGTTGGGGTATGGAATACAGACAAGCCACATCCAATACAGAAAGCCTTCGACTCTAGTCTAGAATAAAAAAAGAAAGCCTTTGAAGACTGAAAGGAGAAACAAGCTCTCTGTGCCACTTTTGAAGGATCCTTCCTGAGGCTGAATGGAGGAAAACAGGAAGACCGACGCAACAGTCCAGAAGACAAATAGCAGTGGCAACAAAGAATCCGAGGTGGCTAGACCCAGGTCAAATGTAGGAGGATTGATAGAACTTCCTGATAGACACCAACTGAAGCACAGGCTGGAGGTCAGCATTCAGAGATGGAATCATGGCTAGGGGAGCCACTTTAAAGGATCTTGTGTCAGGATGAGGGACATATCTTCTGTGGAGCTTTGTCACAGCCAGCCCTCACAGAAGATGATTCTGACCACACTTTACAAGCCATCTCATTATAAGGGAATGACCGGTCATCCTTCCGCACCTCTTACATCCAAACATCTGTGGTATACAAGGGCCAGGCTCTGTCTTCCTTGGGACATCACCTAGCATGGTCTTGCTCTAGCCTTTACCTAGTGACATATATACTATTATATCTTGCTTACTTTTGAGTCTTTATTACTTTATTATGGGTTTTCAAAAAAAATTGGGGCCAGGGGGATGGCTCAGTGGAATAAGTGCTTCCCTGGCAAGTGCAAGGGCCTAAGTTCAATCCCCAGTTCCTTTGCAAGCAGGCACAGGGTCTGGAGGTTCAATCCCCGGGCCTGCTGTGCCGGCCTTGCCCCTGGGGTGCGCTGAGATGGTAATTGAGACTGGGCGTGGTGGCAGCGATCCTGTAAACCCAGCTCTTGGGAGGCTGTAAACAGGCAGATCACTATGAATCCCATCTAGTAGTGAGACTCTGAACACCCTGTAGACCCTGCCCTAAAAAATACAATATCTATATCTATATCTATATCTATATCTATATCTATATCTATATCTATGTATAGTATTAGTAGCAGAACTAGTTTGCTAGGGATGCCGTAAAAGTTACCACAGAGAAGCTGAGTACTGTGTCACTTACCAGAAGGTCAGGAGGCTGAGGCAAGAAGATCAAAAGTTTGAAGCCAGCTAGGGCAACTTAGTGCCACCCTGTTTCAAAAACTAAAATAAAGACCAGGCATTGTGGTGCATGCCTCTTATTGCAGCACTCGGGAGATTCAAGCAGGAGGATCCTTATGAGTTCTAGGCCAGCCTGAGATATATAGTGAGTTCAAGCCCAGCCATAACGAGACCCTGTCTCAAATTTTTTTTTATTAATCTTATTGAGAAACAAATAGCAATCAGACAGTTTCAAAACAGGTTAGTAGGACGGTTATAATAATTAATACATTGCATACTCTTGTCTTCATAGTAGTTATTCATAGTACAAGACGCAGACATGATATCCTGTCCAAACACTATTAATACAAATCTTACTTCTCATTGAATTAAGAGAAAATAGCTATATATCTATCCTAACTATTTTGTATATACAGGTACAAAATGGTCCTTTACTTTTTAATTTTTTTGGTTTTGTTTGTTTGTTTGTTGTTGTTGTTGTTGTTTTTGCGGTACCAGGGATTGAACTTAGGATCCTTTGCTTGCCAGGCAAGCGCTTATTCTACTGAGCTATCTGCCCAGCCCTGGTCCTTCATTTATATCCCCTTTTTTTGTTTAGTTTTGTCAAAGATGTGTATTCCATTGCCATTTAAATATTGTAGGTATGTGAATTCAGCAAAATAATTCAATACAGTCTACTAGTCCATAAGAGTAGTGGGTTATCCATAGGACTGGCAATGTCAGAAGTTGTTGAGCCTTTTATAGCTCAGCATATTAATATGGCTCTACTTTTTAAACTTAATTTTTATACTTTTCTGTTGGATGGTTAAGACCAAGATAAAGCAAGACCTGTATAATAAGAAATATAACTTCTGTATCTGACAAGGTCAGTCATATACCCTCAGGATTTACCCTGAAACCCTGTACCACAGTATGTAGATCCTTTGTCAGTGTCAGCCATGTGGATGAGTTACGGCCATTGCTTGACCAATTTGCTCTCTGTGAAAGCTTGAGAAAATGTTTTCTCTCCACGTGACTCCTTAGGCACACTCTACATCATCGATCACTTTCCTCTGTGGCCCCATGATCTCCTTGATCAGAAAATTTGGGACACCACTGAGTTACAGGATGTTACAGTACAGGTTCACTTATGGCCTGAATCCTCACTGCCCTTGAATGGCTAGGGCCAAAGTGTTAGCTGTCCTTGCAGCCCTTCTTTTTATTAATTTTTGGTCTGCAAACTTAAGTTGTTTTTTTTTTAACTTAAGTTGTTAACCTCCAGAATAAACAAAAAATTTAAATTAAAAATGGATGGGAAGGGGCTGGTGAGATGGCTCAGTGGTCTGGAGCACCTGCTTAGAGCAAGCTTGGCAAAGCACAGGGACTGCGGTTCAACCCCCCAATGCCCCATGCCAGCCCCCCCTGCCCCGCTGAGCTGGCCACACACACACACACACACACACACATAAATAAATAAATAAATAAAATTTTTAAAAAATGGATGGGATGGGGCTGGAGAGATGGCTCAGTGGTCTAAAGCACCTACTTAGAGCAAGCTTAGCAAAGCACAGGGACCGCGGTTCAATCCCCAGCACCACATGCCAGCCAGCCCCGCCCCCTGGTGGGCTGAGCTGGCCACACACACACACACACACACACACACAAATAAATAAAAATTAAAAAAAAAATGGATGGGAAAGGGCCAGAGAGATAGCACAGTAGAATAAGCGCTTGCCTGGCAAACGCAAGGGCCTGAGTTCAATTCTCAGTTCCTCCAAAAACAAACAAACAAAAAAACCCAAAAACAAAACAAAATATAGGGGCTTGCCCCTTAGCTCAGTTCTTTAAGTGGCTGTTTCAGCAAAGCTGTCAGGCTCAGGTTGCTGTGGTTCGATCCCCACAACTCAAGCCAGCCAAACCTGCCCTGATGGAGCAAAAAAAAAAAAAAGATGGGAAGGTCAGGGAGATAGCTGGGCAGGCTAAACACCTGTACTGGTTAATACATTGTGTCAACTTGAGAAGTTTAGATAATTAAGTGACTCAGCAGAGAGCCAGGATTCTTAGTTTGTAAACATCCTCATCCTGTGCAAGAGGAGGGCATCCACATTGTGTGAGTTCTACACTTACAGCCCCAGGGTAGCTTGTTTATAACTTAAGGAAAGAGAGGCTGGCTAGAAGCCAAAACTGCTGTGCTTCCCTTTTGCTTTTCACTGTTTTCTGTTGCCATGAACTGCTGTTCTCTGCCATGTGCCACTCTGCCTGGGGGCCAGCTGAATATAGACTTAAGACCACCACAAACTGTAAGCCAAATAAACCTTTCCTTCCTTAATTTGGGGTGTCAGGTATTTTATCCCAGCAATGAGTAAAAAAATAACTGAGATAGCACCTGCTTGGCAAGTGCAAGCACCCGGGTTCAATCCCTGGTATCACATGCCATGCCAGCCCCACACCGTGCCAGCCACCAAAACTGGGTATGGTGGCGCACACCTGTAATCCTAGTGCTGAGGAGGATAAGACAGGAAGATCACTATGAGTCCGAGCTGCATACCGAGACTCTGTACCAAATAAATAAACAATAATTTTTTTAATGTATTTGGTTCAGGGGCCAGGGAGACAGCTCAGTAGAATACGTGCTTGCCTGGCAAACACAAGGGCCTGAGTTCAATCCCCGGTTCTGCCAAAAAAAAAAAAAAAATTAAAAATAAATGTATTTGGTTCAGAGTCTCACTACACAGCTTGGACTTATAATGATCCTTCTGTCTCATCCAATAAATAAATCTTAAAAAAGAAAAAAAAATGTATGGGAAATAGTTCAGTGGTGGTGGGGCCTAACGTATAAAGCCCCAGGTTTGCTCCACAGCACTGCAAATCTATATGTATGTCAATTACATTAAGTTACAATGCATACATATGCTCAACCACTCCTTCCCCTAAAGGAGCTGTCTATTGACAAATACATTTCTATCTCAACCACACGAGGCTGGGGAGGGACTCTATCCAAGATCAGAGAGTTGATGACAGGCAGGGACCCAGCACTGACAGTAAGTTTTCTGATCACCTGGCAGCCATGTGGCCTGAGGCTTTGCAGAATGAAGCCCCACAGTGACCATGATGAACTTCTGACAAGCTCAGAAGGGCAGGTGAGAAGCCCCACATCTAGATACCAAGAAAGACGGAGCCTGGCCAGTAGAGGCTGTTTCATTCTTGCACTGAATAAACTGGGAAAGTCACTTAGCACTCAGGCTTCTCATACATTCTTTTTTTCTTTTTTCTTTTTTCTTTTTTTTTTTTTTGGCCGAACCGGGGATTGAACTCAGGCTCTTGCACTTGCCAGGGAAGTGCTTATTCCACTGAGCCATCTCCCCAGCCCCTACATTCTTGGGATTGTTATTGTGAACCAGCTAGTGTGGGTCTAATTCTGAAGTGCTGGTGGAGCTGACCCTGGACCTGTAAGACTAAGGCTCATACTGGGCCCTACAATGATGGGCACGAACTGAACACTGTGTACCCCTTCCCAAGGAAATTCCCAGAGCTGAGGCCAAAACTGAGGGTTGGAGAAAAAAAGACGTCTGCATCTCCACAGGCAGGACCCGCCTTAAGCCCTAAAATGTGACTGCTCACATGATCCTACTGTGACTCTGGAGTGTGGGTAGCCCTTGAAGCTACCCCCAGCCTGAGCTGCACAGCTCACGGAACAGTCCAGGAACCCAGAAGCCCCAGCCAGAGAGTAACCAGTCATTTGTCCTAGCCCTGTGCTGAGGGCTTCTCTTTCCATAAGAGGATGAAGAAGGAGGAATGGAGTCCCTTGCTCCCCCAGGTAAGCCAAGCTATGTGGCCTCACCAGCTGGGAGATATTCCCCAGCCCTGATGCCCCAGGGGAGGCCCTGGGATGGGCTCTCAACCCACCCTAGCCCTACCCAAGCCTTGTGGTATGCTGGAGCTTTCCACCAGATGAGTGTGGATGAAGTGGACATGGTGCTGAGCCTGGGGGCTGAACCCAGAGTCTCACACAAACTTGTCACACTGAGCCATATCCCAGCCCAGTACCCTAATCCTGGCCTCTGGGTCTCCTGTGGCTCTAGGGCTATAATTGTGGCTTAGGGTATAAGAGAGGGACATTGATGACCTCTGGCAGCCCTACTCTGGCTAACTGGGCTCGAGGACCTATCCGTTTACTCGTTGTGACTTGTTTGGACCAGGGCTGATAAATTAGCCCTACTAGCCTCTGCTCCAAATTTGCAATAAAGGAGCCTCAATGCAAAGTCAGAGAGCACTGGCCGGAGGGCCAGCATCTTCCCAGTGGAAAGGGAAGCCTTTCCTGAGCATTTGCCCCAGCTTCTGACCTATCCCCAATGTCAAACCTTGTTTTGAACAGAACTGGGTACCTGTGGGGCTGTCCCCCATTCCCTGCACCTCTCCTCCCCACACCTGCTGCTCCTGATGGCCTTCTTGGCCTCCTGGAGCCCCCTCCAGTCCCTTCCTGCCGCCTCTCCTGTAGGGCCTAGCATCATATCTGCTTTCATGGGGGCTCAGCTAGTGGAGCAGGCTGAGTGGGTCCTAGAACATCAAGGTTGGTTTCAGAGGGGAGGCAGCCATACTACCCTGCCAGGCCTGGGTGAGGAGCCCCGTTGTAGCTACACATAGTCATTGCACTGCACGGTGCTGATAGACTGACCCAAGCAGACTCATATGGGACACAGAGAAAGTGTCTTTCCTACACATTCTTGCACTGCAGGAAGTCAAAACCAGAGGGGGCCCTTCTATAGCTCAGGTACAGGAGAGAGGAGAAGAACATTTGTCAACCACTGTCTTCTTAGTTTTCACCACAGATCTTGCAGGGTGTGGTTATCATCCTAAAGGAGGCTGGGCCCCAACAGTCACATCAGCGAGCAGCAAACTAACTCTGATCTGGGCCTCCTGATCCCTGCTGGGGAGCCCCCTTGCTTATTGTCCTGATTGTTACAGGGTCTGAGGGACTAGGATCACTCTGGTAGGTCCCTGATTTCCTTTCTCTCTGCAGGACACTGTAGGCCAGGAGCTGCCCCTCTCCATGGACAATCTAGTCACACCAAGCCACGTAGGTCCAGAACCCCAGGAAGACACGATGGAGGTCTGGAGCTGCTGCTGTCAAGTTCTTGGGACCAAGCACCAGGCCTGGAGTGGAGGCCCAGCTGCCTCCCTCCCCATGGGGAGCAGCTGTATCAAGTGTCTGACATTTTTCTCCAACTTCCTCTTCTCCCTGCTGGGCCTCCTGGTCCTGGCTGTAGGGCTCTGGGGCTTAACTGTCAAGGGTTCTCTGGGAAATGGCTTGGGGGGAGCTCTGCCCCCAGATCCGATGCTGGGGCTGGTGTTTGGTGGGCTGGTGGTCAGTGTTGTGAGTCTGGCCGGCTGCCTGGGCGCCCTGTGTGAAAGCAGCAGCCTCCTGCGCTGCTTCTGTGGGGCCATCCTTGGCCTCCTGGTGCTGGAAGCACTGGCGGGGGCCCTGGTGGTGGCCCTCTGGGGTCCCCTACAGGATGGTCTTGAGCATACCTTGCAAGTGGCCATCACTCACTACCAGGATGACCCAGACCTGCACTTTCTTCTTGACCAAGTTCAGCTGGGACTGCGATGCTGTGGGGCGGCATCCTACCAGGACTGGCAGCAGAACCTGTGAGTACAGGGGTGGGTAGAGGAAGGGGTAGCCGGGCAGCCACACGTTCACTCATATATGCATGCACATGTGTGCAGATGTTAGCAGGTGCCTGTGCATTTACATGAACACACATGCACACTGGTAGGTCTCGTGTGTGCACACACAGATGTCCTCGTGAGCACACACAGAAGTCTTACAGTCAAGCACACTCTTCTAGGAAGAGTTCACATACAGACATAGACACACATAGGTATGCACATCATGAGGTGCTGGAGTACTTGCCTCTCCTTGATCTGCAGGCTCGAGGACCGGATCAGGCTTTTTGGCAACTCTTGGGTCCAGGTTAAACCCTCTTCCAGCCAGACCCAAGGGGCCGCAGGAATGTTAACGGAGAAGCCACACCAGAAGGCTTAGAAAGTCACTTTTTTTGGCCCGGCATGGTGTTGCATGCATGTAGACCCAGCAATGGAGAGGCTGAGACAGAAGGATCACCGTGAGTTCAAGGCCAGCCTAGGTTACACAGTGAGTTCAAGGCCAGGATGAATGATGTAGTGAGACCCTGTCTCAAACTAAACTAAACCTTTTTTTAATCATCTAGAACATCTTAATGTCAAATGAAAAGAATTTTTAGGTTAATTAAGGATGTTTTTCTAAATTATGATTCTACTCTGTGTGTGTGTGTGTGTGTGTGTGTGTGTGTTTAAACATTGTTTAGAAACATAATTATTTTTTATGATGCTGGGAATGGAATTCGGGGCCTCATGCTTACTAGACAAGTACCCTTGTACTGAGCTGCTGCCCCTACCCAGCGCAATACATGTTTGGTGATTTACTCCCCACAATCACCTGAGCAGCTTCTGTGCTTCCTGTGACACCAAGAACAAAAAGTATGCTTCTTATTGAGCGTGGTGGTGCACATCTGTCATCCCAGAACCCAGGAGGCTGAGGCAGGAGGATCGTTGTGAGGCTGAGGTCACAGTCTGGGCTACAGTGTGTTCAAGGCCAGCCTACAGCCTACACCACATAGTGAACTACATAGTGTCTCAGAAATAATCAGGCTTCCTTCCTGAAGCCTCCAGCCCAACTAGCTACAAGAGATGGACTCAGAGGAGACTCTATAACTGACCATTTGTTCCCAACTGCTGCTAAAACGAGCTGAGCCCCTCCAGGTGCCAGGCACCAAGTGGAGTGCACAAGGGGAAGGAGGCCCTTCTGAGATTCACTGTCTGATCATTCCTGTGGTAAGACATGGTCACCCCAGTCAGGAGCACTTGAGACCCTGTGTGCACCACCTGGAGAGCTTGCACAGATGTGTGAGGGTGATTTGCTCCTGTGTGGTGTCAAAAATGGGATCCCCTGGTCAGAGTGGGCACATGTTTGGCTGGGGTGTAGGCTCCTGGACCTCTGTGCCTCAGTTTCCTTGCCTGGGAGGTAAAAATAAGCCCTGCCTGTCAAGCCCTCTGCTGCCTCAATGAGGTGCTCTGTTCTGCTGCTAGAGACAACAGGTATGAGGGCAGCCTAGGGACCAGTGTACAGGTCTGCATCCCAGGGCTCAGAGAGATTTGCAGGACTCTGGAGGCTCATGGAAGGCCAAGGGCAGGTGAGGGCCCCCTATAGTCAGGACTGTGATGAGTACAGCAGCCCCTTAGCCATCCAGGACTCCTCTCAAACCCCTTGCCCTTTGTCACTGCTCAGTACTGCCTCTCCACTGTGACCCTCAGCCCTTTTCAGAAGCAAAGCACCTGGTAGGGCTCTGTCACCTTCTCCTGAAATGAAATTCTGCCTGGCCCAAAAAAACCCACAGCATCTATGGAGTGAGATGATCTTCCTCTTCTTCCTCTTCTTC